AAGCGCCAACCAAAAAAGGCACTTGAAAAGTTATTTTTATATAATATAAAAATAACTTTTCAAGTTATTTTTATATAATATAAATATAAAAGTTATTTTTATATAATATAAATATAAATTTTATCATGAAATTTTAGGCGACGATTACTCAGATGCCTAAGAACGCCATCAATGTCATAAATGCGGTCCAACAACGTCACAAATGCGGTCCTGGTTATACTAGCATAATCTAGTTAACTAGGTAACTATAACTCCTGGTTATAGTAGCATAATCTAGTTAACTAGGTAACTTGATTATGCTATGTAGTTTTCAAAACAATACAGATTTTCAACAATTTTTTCTCAATTTTCACAACATATTTTCTACAAAAAAAAAAAAAAAAAAAAAAAAAATATTTGCGCAGTTTTTTATTTTATGTTAATATATTGTTTCTTTTCCACAAAAAAAAATTGGTGATAGAAAAAGTTAAGTTGTGCAAAACCATAAACAACTTGATTACAATTACATATTTAAAATAGCTTTGAATTCGGAATTAATGTCTGAAACAACAATTGACAGTAAATTGTAAGATTGACCTGTTGCAGAACTGATTGGATTTAGAATGACTGCAATAACATGCTGCTCAGGTACCCAACAAGTGTCCTTGGTGCTAGGCCAGTAAAATGACTGAGCCATACCATGAGGATGCATAAAATCAATGAAAACATCTTCCTGTTCTTCTGAAAATTCACAAACATTTCCAATCCACCGATGTGCATCGTATATACATGCAACAAAATTTCCAGGACTAAGATCAGATAGTGAAACTAATTTGGTTGAGTTGTTGTTGTAACTTTCTTTAACATTTGCAATAAAAGATGTATTGTCATTTGAAATACGACTGATACAAACCTGATTTTCATTTACAGGTACAAATTTGTGATTATCGCGAGTACCTGCAACTGTGTTTCCAGTACTAAATCGTTTCTCTTGATTGTCTTTTACACTGTCTACTTCATCACTGGCAACATAAATAAATGAAATACCTTGCAAAAATCATATAAATTTAAGGGCGTTAAAATTTGATTATCAATTGGTCGTTGAAAACTGGCACGTGCTGCTAAACGCTTCACAGTTCCTCCAATTCCATCACAGGAAGATTTTCCATGACTAGTTGCAAAGAAATTCCACTCTGCTTTATAACCATAGTCAGTGTTATGGCAACAAATTCATAAAGTTTTCAAAGTTTTTGTACTGCGCAGCTGAACCGTCACTGAAATAATGAATAAGTTCAAAAAACAAATAAGTTTTAAGTTCAGCTATAAATTTACCAAGAAATACATGAACAGAAATAGTATGGTGATGCATGCAATCACTGATAACACAATAACATGTATTTTTAAGTATGTCATTAAGTTTATAGTAAACAACAAAAGGATGCAAAGTTGTTTGGCTGTTTTCCCAGTAAAACTCTTGAACAGCATCTTGCACAACAAACGAATAGTTTTCAGAAAAATCTTTCAAAATGATCAACTCATTTGAATTCAACTCATATTTCAATAATTGCAAATAGTTGTTTTGGTTTTTGCCGATAAAATGATGCTTAGATAATACAGATACTTTTGAAATTAATTCATCTACGAAGTCGTCTACTGGTAATTGCAAAGATTCTAAAGTTTCACGATCTACTTTTATCCATTACTTGAATATTATAGTTTCATCAGATTCAAAGTCTTTAAACTACTCTTCAAGATAAGCTTTTAAAATTTCAGTTCCTGGACATTTATCACAATGATGAAGCATACATTCTTTAGATTCAATGTCACAAACTATTTTTTCTATCAGACATTTATAGTCTACTGTAACTGGGCTACTTGCAAGCATTAATTTTATATTTTAGTGAATAGTACATACACAATTACGATGAGTACCTGACGATCTAACAGATATACACCATTTTGCACTTAACTCAGAAAATTTAGAAAATCCAACTTCAGCTCCATTTTCTTTTTTATACCCCAAAAAAAGTTTTTTTAAATTAACAGTAATTTTTTTTGCATGTGCACTTTTTTAGTACCAATGCGCACAGATACAAAATCCTTTTTCCCTTAACATGTTCTGCTAAAAGCTTCGTGTTCGAAAAAATTTCAAAATTTTTTCTTCCGCTTTTCGCATTCAACTTTTTTCCTGCTTTAGCCATTCTCTCTGATACTTTAAATTCACTACATTTTTTTATTCTTGACCAACTGTTTGGTATCAGAGTTAAAATTTGAACTTTTTGACGTGGAATACTGGTTGTTGATATTTTATCCTTCAATTCTAGTATCAAATCTGACCAGTCAATGCAATTCTCACACTCTACACTTGCACTGCTTAGTGGTAGGGCATTATTCTTTGGTGATAAACCACTTACAACAGCTTTTTTTTTTTTGCAACTGTTATTTGCACTTTCCGAATTTTACCTTTTACATAACTAGCATGATCTCTCTTACTAACACGTTTTCTTAAAGGTGAAATTCCAATCTCAGAAAGGCTAGTATTAATAGTGTCAATTGAACAAAATATATCATCTATGTCACCAATGTCGTCAATTTTTTCACTTGAAGACTTTGTGGTTGAATAAGCTTTGCGGCAATTTGGACACAATTTTTGGCCTAGACAAATAACTTTATTTGTTAACTTTGAAAGACAGTCTGCAGTCTCTAGCTCAATACATCTCAACCCTTTAACTGAGCAAGGATTGGCCACACCAAAAGGGTTTCAACAATAGCGCTGCAAATGAGTGTATTTAACCAACAGCACTGATTTGTGGTGGAAAAAAATTAAAGTAATATTTTTAATCAAATTATAAGTTCGCCTGACAATCATACTCTGTTCTTTGTTCAAAAGTTCTGAGCAAAAGTCAATAAACCCTTTTTTCGTGAATAAGTACTGACATAAACTTCCGTCAAATTTTCCAATACAACAAGTACTTAAGTTTTGATCAACAGACATGTCAGGATAAGTTAAAAATAACTCATTCTAAAATTCAATTCTAATTTTTGTCTTCTAATATGAGATGTTTGTGATAAACTTAAATATTTGTCTGTAGAATAAAAATATACTTACTTTCTAAAATTAGCTCTACATGGCTATAGTTAATTTACGGACCTTAATATCGTTTTTAAAATATCAAAGACTTTGCAGACCTAACTTAGCTCATAAAAACTAGATTTTTTTAGTTCATAAAAAAAATCTCTCCCAAATGGTTTTTATTGTTTCTAGAAGTATGAAGTAAGCTCTTTCCAACAATGCAATTAAAAAAAACAAAAAAAATTTGCCCACATTGATTTTTAGGGCTTTAAACACACGTAATTTTAGGATATTTCACTTTTGTCGCTATTTTGCTATCAAAATAACTCAGAAAAGACGTTTATAAAAAAGCTGATTTTTAATCCATATCATTATGATAGTATGTAGAAATTGTAAACAAAATAACAATACTAAAAAATCTTTTGTTCTGGAGATATGACCCTACAAAAAACAGAAAAAATTTATGGTGTTGAATTTGTGACGGTATTTGGTGAACCATAGACTTGAATGTAGGCATAGTATGAAACTTAAAGTAATTTATTTGTAATCTCCACCTTCGGTTTATTAAGAAACCACGTTTTCAAGATATATTATCCGTTTATTACGAAAATATAAGACCCCAAAAATGCAGTTTTGGGGTCTTATATTTGTTTGGGTAAGCCTTACAAAAAGTACCACAAAACCCGAATTAATAAATATTTTGATCTAAAAATTTGGCAATGTTTATGAAACATGTTTAACAACATATTGACAAAATTTTATTAAAATTGGAGATAGTCATGCGAAAATGATTTCGGAAATTAGACCGTTTGGCGTGGAATGACCCTATTATCTCTGTCCAGAACAAGATTTTCGGCTCGGCATTCAGTATCTTCGTTGCCCTCAGCAGTATGTTCTTCTATCAGTTACATTTACCTCAGTTTTATCAGTTTCATTTCGTCAGTTTCATTTATCAGTTACATTTACCTCTTCCGAATATGTCATTTCTCTAAATATTTCACCTACTTCGAATTCAAATTTTAATTTGAATTCGAAGTAGGTGAAATATTTAAAAAAATTCAAAGAAATACAAGAACAACTTTGTTTACAAAAAATATGGATGTGCTTAGATTGCTTAAAAGTGAATTTTAGCGTTAAAAAGTAATTTGCATCTATATATATATTTCCGAATGATAATACAAAATCAACTAAATCAAAAACAACTCTTATTGTCTTCTAAATTTTTACGCCTTATTTTTAATACCTTATTCCTTAGCTCAGCGCAGGCGGAAATTAGTTTGTAGTTTAGTGCTGGAACTTATTCCACTAGGCTTCAGCCTATTCAACCTAATGGGAGAACCGCTACTCTGTGTGTTTATGTAACAAATATTTATTTTAATAAAGTTAATTTACACACTAACTTGATTGGCCGAGAGGTTAATGCAAGCGATTTCGCGGCATAGATCCGAGATCATATGTTAGTCAAGTCATAATTTACTTTTTATTTTTAAAATAATTTGTTTTAATGAAAAATCAAATGAAAGTAAACTTTAATTTGGGGAGGAGGAGCAAACGAATTTAAGGGCCCTTTTGTAAATTTAAGGAGCTATTTTTTAGCAATACCTAGCCGTTTGAAAATTTCGGAGCACTAATAACAGGTTTTTGTTATTATTTCAAAAAAATTCAATTATTAACAAGTACTTGTTAATTGTAATAAATTAGAAAAATGAAGTACGTAATTTTAAATTGAACACTAATCTCCCTTCTTTCCATACGCTTTGGTACACTATTTTAAGACCAATACCTCCCTCCACCCTATGAGCGTTCTTACTTTACAGACGACCCCTTACTGGGGTGTATTTTTTTTACTTAACTATATGCTTTAATTTGAACACAATTAAATAAAAAAATTTATTGTTTTTTAATTACGGATCATAATTTATTATGTGGTTTTATAACTTTTTTTCAGGTTAGAATTGTTGGAAAATATCATGCCCGAACTGATAGTGACCGCAAACGAACAGCAACAAAAGCTTGAGTATCTCGAAAGTTTTGACATGACGCCCTCTGATTAGTCGAGCAGAGTTGCTCACCTACTGAATAAACAGGGGGAAGAGGGGATAAATTATAATTTTTAATAATTATGGATTAATTTTTTTTTTTATAATCTGAACATAGACGTGTTTTTGTTTAAGAGAACTTTCTTCACCAATGAAATTCCTTTTGTAAGGTAAGCTTAAGGTGTTCTTAATTAAGAAACTAAGAAGAACCCATTAAAATGTCTTTCTTTATAAATGTTAATTTCTTCGAGTATTTTCATGTTTTTAGAATTTGAAGTTTTTTTAAAATTTCATATCCTACTGCTTAGTAAGATCCATAAGACAAACCATTTTCCCCATCCCCTCCTTCTCCGTTTATTCGGTAGGTAAGAGTAAGTTTTTGATTTATAAAAAAAAAATTTGCAGGTGACTTTTTTTTAATTCAGACTTTTATTCAGTCTAGAATAAATGTAATTACCGGATGTCAATTATGGTATATTATTTTGATCTTTTTTAACATTTGATTGTACATTATATTTTGTAACATTTATACAAAGCACTATTAAAAGTATTTAAAATAGCTTAGTTAATTAAAAATATTATTTTATTATTATTCATTATTGATGGTGTTGAGCATAGCTTGGCGCTCTAAACTCAGAAATTTAGTTTTAGACACGCTCGATGCAACTAAAGCATAGTACATGTTTTTTCAAACTCTTCCCCCCCCCCCCTCCATCTTCCTCCATAGTGCTTCACCATCTTCTAGAGTAAAAAAACTATGATTTGAATTTTATAATTAGATTCATTTTAGTAGTGTGAAGAATACAACTTTCTACATCAGATGAGATATATGTTAAAGAAAGCATTGAAAATAAGAATAACAAATCATACCACTCTTCAGTGCCAGAACCTCAGCCACTTATTATAAATGAGCCCAATGCTAAAAGTATAACACAAATATCATATATTTTTCTTAATGGTTTATAAACTGAAATTTTTTATGTATTACTAAGGTTTTCCTTTAATTTTAACTATTTGGGTGTCCTATTATATGTAATGTTGTTAAATTGGTTACATTTATTTATATCATTGACAACATTCTATTGAATTAAATAATCCTTTAATCAACTTGATATGAAAATTAAAAATTGATTGAAAGCATGCTGAAATTGTTTGAATTCAGAAATCGAAAGAGTACAAAATTGGTTGAATGATTAAATTAAGTAACAGGTATGGTTAAGGGATTATTTATAGTTCTAATTATAATTATTTCTTTTGAATAGATTCAGAGATTGAAGAAGATGTTTTATCTTCAAATTTTATTGAAAAACACAATAATTGAAACTTTTTCTTGACTTGAATAAAATTCAAGTTGCATTTCTCTAAAATCAGGCAGGTTTTTATTCTAAGTAATAAAATACTCAAAGAAATCAATAGAATGACTGACTAAATTTCTCTCTTCTGAGAATCGCGGTTTTCAACCTGCGACTTTAGTGAATATGAAATTTTTAAAATAAAACTTAATTTCATAAGTTTTGATATTTTAGTCTTATTATTTAAGAATAATTCATGTCATAAAGTAACAAATTGTTTAAAAACAATAGTTTAAAATCAGATGTAAAATACAAAGAAAATAATTCTAAACCAATTTTTTTTTCTAATGACAAACTTTTCTTAAAATTAGTAGAAATATAATAAAAATGAAATCAATAAAATAGGAATTTGATTTTATCTTGTCGAAAATAAATGTATTAAGTAGTTAGTAATGTCATTTTAAACTAGGGTCCTCCGAATCACCTTTTTTGGTATTAAATTGAGTAACGAATCGAAGCAGGCATTTGTTTGCAAATCGAATCGAATCTTGAATCGAATTAGCATTTTTAAGAAATCTATGATTTAGTTAAACTTAGATTTCCTCAAAAATGCTGTCTGGACTCGTGATTCAATTCGATTTGTGAATCAAGACCTGCTTCGAATCGTAATTTGATTCAAAACTTAAAAAGATGATTCGCAGGGTCCAATTTTAAACCTTATTTTATCTACATTGGATTATTTTTAATTTACACTTTTAAAAACTTTTAAAACCAACAAGACTATTGGCAGATGTATATTGAGCCTGCTGCAGAGATAAAATTCAAATCATGGTAAAACCATAGAAGTGTTTGGTGCTGGAGTTAACATCTTTGACCGAGATCACAATATAAAAATAATGCAAAGTTCTGTATTCGAAAACAAAGGTCCGAAAAGATGAAAAAGCGGATAGAATCAATGCTGAAAGCAGTTTTTGTTGATAAAAGCTAGCCACAAGGCCTTGAGTTGTATATTTCACTAGACTACTGGGTAACATTTGATATTATAAGTTATAGTTTTAAATAAATGTCTACGGATGAGACTTTCTCAGACTTTTTGGGTACAATGAATTCCAAAACATTTAAAATCTTTTAAAGTTGATAACAACATATCAGAACTCATAGCAAAAATGTAAATTTATTAAGCATAGTTAAAAATTTATTTTAAAAATCAAAAGCTTCAAAAGGGTAGGATATTTATTTCTTAAAATAATAATGTATTTCTTGTTTTAAGAAAAATATTTCGTAAAAAAGAAAATCAATTTTGCTGTGGTTACAGTAAAATTTATTCAAAATAATGTAGAGCGTGTGACAAGCGTAGCAAAATATTTTATGTTTATTTTATGTTTTAAAGGTTCTCAATGAAAAGACTATTTTAGTCTTCTGCGAGTTTCCTTACAACAAAGTAAATATTTTTTAAGAATAATTATATATATATATATTCAACAACGTCCACAAGCAATTCCCTAGTAGCCCTGTGGTACGACGGACTTGCATATATTTTTTAAATGCATGGGTTAATAGCCAGCACTTTATATTATAAACAACGAATAGTTACCTTATTTTGTACACTGTACAACGCGCATGCGCTAAACAGAATTTTGAATTTCTTTTTTTTTTTTTTAAATTTTAATGGTACAAAAATTGTTTAATTGTACGTTTTGTACTTATATGTAAAAATATGTAATTTTGTTTTATTGAAATATATACGGATACTTTTGTTGTAAAAAAAAAAATATATATATATATAGTAATTTACCAGGTGTAAATAATATAAATTGCTTCCAAAAACTAATAAAAAAGAATATTTCAAAGTATACGAATCTTATTAATGATTTCTTTTAAACGGCTTTGTTTGTTTTTTTTTTAATTGAAAAGTTTTTGGTTTTAATACTATTTACTTTAGTTAATTAAGTTTTGCTTTTAACACTATTATAGGAATTTAATATTGTAAAAACATAATTATTACAACGGTTCTTGATGATAAGACTTAATGGTCCTCTCCAAGTTTCCCGCGTTTTATATATATATATTTTTTTATAATTAATTCTTATTATTTTGTCTTTGATTTTTTATATTTATAACTGGTTTATTTTTGAAAGAATAAGAATACTTTGTATTATAAGGTACGAAATTTAATTGTAACAAAAAAATTAGTTCATAAAAAAAAAAAAAAATTGGAGAAGCTCATTACACACTCTACATTATTTTGAAAAAACATTACTGTAACATTATTTTAAAAAAAAAAATTAAAAAAGATGATTCAAGGAGATAGCTACGGCGACTGCTTCCTCGCTTTACTGTTATTGAATGGTTCTAATAAAATGAATTTTGATTAGATATCTAACTGCAAACTCTAAACCCTAAAATTACATTTAAAAATTATTTTTTTTACATATTTTCTTGAGATATTTGTCTTTAGCTAACACATTATATGTGTATAAACATTTATTGCACGTTTACAGCGTTTAAATGAATTCTAAAACAAACTTGCTTAAGAAACTCTTGTTTCTGAAGCAAGTTTGCTTCAAAACTCGTCTATGGCAGTGACGGATCCAAAATATCTATGGCAGTGATGGATCCAGAATTTTTGGGTGTTTGAGATAGCTAATTAAATCAAATGTATTCTGAAACAGATTTTGCATTTCATGGACTATTTAAGTATAGTACGTATAGTACAAGTACTAAATTTAAGTAAACGCCGTAATAAGAAACTAAACAAAAAACAAAAAACAAATACAAACCTAAAACAGTACAACACTTAAACGAAAAACTACACCGAATATTAATTAAGAAATTTAATAAATTTAGGACCAAATTCAATTAACTTTTATACATCTAACAGGTATAGCGAAACTTGAAATATTTTTATGTTTATACTTATGTCAAATGTTGCTTTTTAAAAAGTTGCAATGATAGGAGGCTGAAAACAAAAAAGAGACCTAAAATTTTATCCCTATGCCCCAAACGTGAAAACAACAAGTTGATGAAATAATTATTTGCTGTTCTTAACTAAGTTTATATTTATTGATAAATTTTAAGTATTGTTTTTTTTTATTTACTATCTCTAAGCTAAAAAATTAAAAATTATGACTATATAAAACTAGTAAACCCCTTAAATTGAGGGGGGTTTAAACTTTATATGGTTATAATTTATGAACTCTGAGAGATATTAATGTGAAGGTTAACATTTGTCAGTGATTATAAACAAAGTTGAGAGTTTCAAAAAAATTACTATTCCAACTTGTTGCTCTCACGTTTGGGGCTAGGGGATAAAATTTAGGGTTTTTTCAGTTTCTAGCCTCCAATCATCACAATAGTTTGCAAAGCGTGATTGTTTGACATAAGTATAAACTTACAAATGTTTCGAGTTTGAGCAATGTCTTTTAGCTATCTTAAACAGCAAAAAATGTTGAATCCATCGAAAAAAATCCATCAGCAAAAAATGTTGAATCCATCGAACCTGTGGTTCGATACCTAATCTAGGTATTTTTTCGACATTAAGGAAGCGTAAACTTCTAAGTTAAATGCTCTTTTGCGGTTCTCTGTGTTGCAATAATTAAGTCATTTTGGAGCTCCTAAAATAGCCACAGAAGAAATGTATATATATATATATATATATATATATATATATATATATATATATATATATATATATATATATATATATATATATATATATATATATATATATATATATATATATATATATATATATATATATATATGTATATATATATTTGAGTGACATTGATACGTTTTGATCTATCTTAGTTTTCAACTAAAGATCGAAAATCCTTTACTCAATCTTTCAAGAAAACCACTTTGGATTTGGATTTGTTTGATTCAACAGTATTTAGTATAGATAACAGTATTTAGAAGAAAAACATCATTTGATATTTGATAACAAAATATGGAAATAGTTATAAAGTTTGACTATGTATGACTGGAAAAAAGCCTAAAGATCAACAAAAAATCACTTTACAGTAGTCAAAGTGTGAATTTATCTACCTTAATATATATTTAATATATATATATATATATATATATATATATATATATATATATATATATATATATATATATATATATATATATATATATATATATATATATATATATATATATATATTAAACATCTTCGCTTAGAACAAGGCTGCAAGCAACCACAAATTTGTATTGGAAGTTACTGAAAGAGAAAAGATGAAGATTCTAGTGCAAGATAACGATTAACAGACAACTTAAAAG